CATTTTCCCAATCCTCTTGGAGGATTATTTTTGAGAGGTCTAGCACAAGTGACTGCATTTGAGCTTTGGTGGCATTCCCCTCTTGTCTCCACACTGTCTCTGAGCAGTCTCTTCTGAAGATCTTCTTTCCATCCAAGTATAACCAGGCTCAACCCTGCTTAGCTTCCGAGATCAGACGAGATTGGGCACATTGAGGGAGGTATGGCCATAGATTGAAGATCTTTCTCGACTGGTCATTTTGCTTCCTCATCATGAGGATTTTCTCTTTCCTGGATTTTTGTTTGTTGGTTGGTTGTGGTCCCACGTTGGGTGTGTGGGGGAAGTAACGAGCAGATCAGGTGGGAGTCAGTGCCAACTAGACAATTTTGACCAAATTTAAGCAACAAAGAGACTTAGAAGGAGTGGCTCTTAGGCAGTGGGCTTCTAGACAAGGACAATACAAAACTAAATCTAACAAAAGCAGATGTCTAAAAAGCTAACCTGGTTGACACATAAGTACTCATTAGAGTCATTTTTTATGGAGTTGATTGTAAATGTCCCAGAAGGATCAAAACTGTAATGACAAAAACATAAAAGAGCCATGATTAAAATTTTGTTGGACAATTTAGCAACTAACAGAACAGTATATCCATACCATTAACTTTTTGTTATTGTATTTATCTAAATTTTGTGTTTTAGAAGGGTTGATATACTTGAAAAACATAAATATATTTAGTACACAGGAACCAGCAACAGCATCACAGCTCTATAGAGGTTATATATACATATTAGTTTAGTTGTTGCTCTTAATGTAAAACCCTAGATTTTCTCATCATTTGTGAGGGGGACAGTGTCAGTGACCCCAAATAGCCCAGTCAGAGACAAATATAGGATACCAACTGCGTTAGAATCACTCAAGACAACAGTTGTTTAACCATGAGGTCATCTAGAAAATTTTACATAAATCAACTCTTAAGTGAACATAACTCAGTTACCTGAGTAGTCAAAATCCTAACAAAACATTTTTTAACTGTATATTCCTTGTTCAAAGGGGTTTCACTATGGTATTTCATCCATGAATATATTGTACTTTAATCAGAGAACACAGGTAAATATTTATGGACACTAAGTGTGGAGTCAGGAAATCTAATGATCAAGAATCATGGCTCAGATGTTGATAAGGGATCGAATCCCAGACTGTTGACATTAACACATGGCTTATGACATACAGCAGGATCCCACCAACCTGTAGTCAATGGAGTCCCCCCCAAAATAACAGGCCCAATCTGGTCATCCCAGGCCAAAAATTCCCTCCGCCTGCCATGTGGAAGGAGTAGGACTAACATCTCCACTCTGTTGACTCCAATAAAAACTGGAGGTCCTTACCTCCAGTATAGTGCTCCTTTTTGAGTTATTTTTTTTCTTTATCCTATCTGGAGGGTGCACTTTGGCATTTTTTTTACTTTGTTTTACATAAGTAAATCTGTCTCAACCCATGTACCAGTGCAGCAGCACTCCCTGTGCTCAGTGCCTCTTGCCTCTCTGTGTTTTCATAAACTCTTGTTGTCTTGACAAATTTGTGGATTAACCTATAGTATCAAAAATTCCCGACAGTTATCTTGGCAAAACAAAAACTATTTTTAAGGCAATTTTTTGTAAATGTTATCAAGAGCAATATAATATTTTTAACATAGCCTTGTTGTTATGAGCTTAGAGAATTAAGTTTTAGTTTAATATCAGTACATTAAATTTTGACCTTATACAACCTTTAATGTAACTGGATTTTAGTTAACTTAATCACTTACATAAGCATTTATAAGCTCCATCTTTTTATGACAACTTACTCTGTACCTTTGTGACAACTTATTTTGTATCTTCTAGGGGAGCTTGTCTTTATCCTTTTTTATTTATTTAAAAGTATTTTTTAACCTTTTATTTTTTAAAAACCAGATCCTTAATATCTTACATATGAAATTTTTGTTACTTGTTGAAAACAACTCATAAGCCCTTTAAACTTAGAGCCTTATAGTTATATGAAAAAACCAGAAAGAAAGCAACCTTAAAATTATTTTTTGTATAAAAACAATTTATAGAAAGCCCATTTGTTAAAAAACCCATGTATTATAAGAGAGAATTAAATCCCAGATTTAATAGGCTAGGTCATTTTTAACTACCCAAATTTTAAGATTTCTGCTGCAGGCTGTGGACCCCCTTTTCTTTTCTTTTTTTCTCCTCTGGTCTGAGCCAGAGTGAATGCCTGCATCTTAATGAGACCTGATTGAAATAAGTTGAAAACCAGTTTTGTTAAAAGTAGCTGTAGAACAGAGAATTTTTTTACATTGACTCTGTAATAACGATCCTCAAGATGTTTACATATTCATATGTAACAAGGTTAAGCAGTTTGTAACAGAGATCTTTAAAACAAACACCCTGCTTTTTTGTTACCTTGAATATCACATTAACCTTTTAACAGCAGTTTAAGAACCATTTTGAAGATGCTTACACATACACATACACAAAAGTTTCATAAATTAAGCATGCCAGAAAAAAATGTCACCTTAAGTGTGCATGAGATGAGTTGGAATTTCAGGAGTAAATTAAAATTTGCCCAATGTTTTAAACAAATTCACACACTTATACCCATACATACACCCACACACAAAATTAGAGTGCACTCTCTAGAGGGACTTTTTTTTTCCAGTGAGACTGGGGTTTGAACGTAGGGCTTCAAGCTTGTAAAGCAGGCACACAACCACACCCAGACAAGCTGTTAATTAGCTTACTGGCAGCAGCTCAGTGAATTCACATTCAAAGACTGAGCTCCAAGAACAAAGGGGCCTTGCCTTATATACCCTTGTAAGCAGGTTACAGAGGCAATAAAATTAAAAAAAAATAAGATTTAACCCATATATGGTTACATGTAATTCTATAGGCTACTTCAGCCTAGTGCTGAAGAAAAACTCTACCACTTGAGCCACACCTCCTAGAGTGCACTCTCAAAAAAAGAAAAACTTTAAAATTATACCCAGAGGACTATCCGGTGGAATGGTGGAAGATGCCTCTGTTCTCTTGTGAGTCTCCCCCTTTGGAACTGAATTTTTTGTTATCCATCCCTTAACCTCAGTTGTGGCTATTTCTTGGGAAAAGCTTAACCTCCCTAATTCCTGGCTCCCTAAACCTGAGAGACCTGGTTTCACCCCAGATCACCTCTACCCCTTAGTGCTATGTGACCTTCTTCACGTTTGGATTCTTTAGGTTCTATCTCTCTGCTATACCATCCCTTCCTGCAGCTACTTTATCAGAACAAAGGCCTGTCTGTTTCTCTTCTGGTGCTCCTTCCTACTACAGTATAAGTACGAGAAAAGAAGAGGCAGTTGCAATCAAGTAGGTCCCAGACTGCCTTGAGGGTCAGGCAGGACCTACGGGGAAGTGCCCACAAAACTGAGCCTGAGGAGGAGAAAGGAGGGGGCAGGGTTGCACGGGGACTGCTGCCCACCTCAGAGCAACATGCAGACAGCCTGGAGCGCAGACAAAGGGTCAACTAAATGACCAGCACAAGTGGGAGAGGTACCGTGGGGCCACCAGAGGGAGGGACAATGATCATGAAAGGAAATGGGGAAGACTGGTGGCCGTGGCCAGCTTCTAAAGCCAGCCAATACTCTTGGTAAGTAGTTTCTGGGCTGCTGGAAGGACACCTCACCTCCTGCATCTGATCCTTGAACTATCTGCTATTTATGTCTGCCTTTTTTTCCTTCAATTCCAGCAGAAGGGCCAGAGGGGCCAGAAAAATCTGTGTCCTTTTAGGAAGCCTCTCTCAATCTAGAAAAGAGGTTATTGTGTTTCCCACCGGCATCTGGCAGTATCTGGAGACATTCTTGGTTGTCACAACTTTAACTCTCTTTCTCTCTCTCTGTGTATGTTATTGACATCTGGTAGGTAGTGTACAGAAATGCAGATAAACATCTTGTGATTCACCCAACAGTACCCATCCCACAGAATTCAGCCTCAAACATCAATAGTCTCAAACAGGTCAAAGCACCCAAAATACAGTGAGCTTTTTGCTAAGATGCAGGAAACACAGGACCAATCACTGGATGATGCTGGGAGCCTGGCTGCCACCCCGGTGAGACTCAGCCTCTGTGGAGGTACAGGAATGTCTGGAGGGGGCACCGATGGGTGAGTGACTGGAAGGAGTGTGCTATGGTAGGAGCGGTCAGGGTGAGTCAGTCCCTAGGGGAGGTGACATCTGCTACCGGGGCTGGCCGTCCAAGATGTTGCATCCGGCAGGCAGACAGGCAGTGTGAGAAGTCCCTTAGGAGGAGACAGATGCCTGAGTGAGGTGACAAAGCAGGTGGTTTTGCTCAGCCACCTATGGGCGACAGGGAGCGGGGTGGTGGAGAGGTGGGTAAAGAAGGAACCATGGGGTCCATGCTTGCCCGTGGGAGGGCGGTGGGACTAGAGGACAGGAGAGGAACAGCGGGGGTAAGCCTTATCCACGCTCTCACCTTGGGTGCGGGTGAGGTGAGGGAGAGAGGTCCGCTTCCCAAACGTCCCTTTAAACCAGAGTACAAGCGGAACCACCTTGGATTCTCTGCAGGTCTGGTCTCAGCTGCGAGTCCACACTGCTCAACAAGGAGGAACCCAAGTGTGTATATGTGCGCTCGGGACTTATCTGGCCAGATTGGGGAACCTGGGAAACCCGAAATCAAACTGCACCCGGTCCCCGTTCCCAATCCCAAGGGGCGGGGTATCCTGTGCGGAAGGCGGAGCTTGGAGCGCGCTGCCAATTCTGGGACCACTGGCTGGGGAGGCGGGGCTCAGGCGCGCGGAGCGCGCTCGGCGGGCGGGGCCTGGTGCTGGGCGCACAAGGTTCTGGAAAGCACGAGGTGGGGCCTCCCCAGGATTGGGTGCGGGGAGAGGCTTCTAGAAACGAGGGCGGGGCCTCCAGGGCGGGGGCCTGAGGGGAGATGGAGGGGGGCGGTGAGTACTTAAGCTGCCCCAGAGCGCATAGAAGCCTCGCCATGGCTCTCAGGCGCGTTTTCTCTGTGCGCACCGCCACACTACGCCTCGCCTTACTTTCCACTGCGCCGGCGGCCCGCGAGCAGCCCACCTTGGGCCCGAGGGCCGTGCCGGCATGCGGGACGGCCGACGCTGCGCGGCCGCGGGTGCCGGTGGTGGACTTCGGCAACGCTCAGGAGGCGTACCGCAGCCGGCAGAGCTGGGAGCTGGCGCGCAACCTGCTGGTGCTGCGTTTGTGCTCGTCGCGGGCGCTGCTGGCGTACCACGAGCAGGTGCGCATGTGGGCAGGTGGGTGGATGGGTGGATGGGGGGGCGGGCAGGTGGACAAGGGTGGCGTGGGACATCTGCCTGGCCCAGGAACCACGATGGAGTTTGGAAGCGTAAAAAAGGCGGGCTATTCAAGCATCGCCTGTAGCTAGGAAGCCAGGAAGGGAGGCGTTTCCTGCATGCACTTTTGGACCTTGTGAAGTTTCCTACTTGTTAATTACTACTAACTAGAAGCAAAGACCAATTGATGTTTAAGATGTACACCACTTGCAGGAATACAGAGTTAACACGTGGAATTTAAACTTGAGTATCCTTCATTATTGCTCAAAGGGTAGTCTGGCAGAAATTCGAGACCTCAGAATTCCACCAAGCTATGACCAGCTACTCCCTTACACGGCTACTTTGAACGGTGTTGGGGAACACGGGAAGCCGCCCAAATACCTACCTTTAAACTATAACATGGTAACTTTAAGAAGCCTGAGAGCTTTGGGGGAAGTTTTTTTTTTTAAATCAGGACACTGCTTTAGCCAGTCTGTAAGTATTAAAAATGACGGTTATCTCAAGGTGATCTGGGAAGTTTGCTAGGGTCCAGTTGTCGGTCCTGAGAGTCTGTGTGTTGACTTCTTCAGGTGAGACTGCACTGAGAGCACCGTGCTACTCAGCCCCACGGGGAGGTGAGAGTAAGAACCACACAGCTCAACTGAGAACACGGCAGGTGGGAGATGGGGGCAGATGCCCACTTAGGTGCTGAGCAGTTTTTGTCCTGAATCTTTTGGAAGGAACTTCATGACAGCTTTGGAGCCTAGGACTGTTGGTGGCAGGAGTGGGGAGAGGTGAAGAAAGGGCTTAACTGGAGTGTTGGTGGCCTCTGGGAAGCTGTGGCTGTGTTTGTGTCAAGTGGTGATGTCCTGAGCAAAAGCCTAACTGGGGAGGAGGGTGAGAAAGGACATGTAAGGTAAAGGAACCCTTTAGGGAGCCCCAGCAGTTCAGGGGCAGCAATCAGGCAGGTGTGGGCTGCCAGCTGGGGCAGGAATAGAAGGAGGGAAGGCCAACCACAGGTTCTGTATGGAGGGCAAGAACTGGACCCAGCTCCCTCCGTGATAAGCAGTTAAGAAGCCACCCCTACCTGTGACTGGCACGGAGGGAGAAAAGGCTAAGAACCATCCAGGCCAGATTTCCATAGGCACAGCAGTAAACTTTCTCTTCCAAGATTCAAAGCCAGTCATCCTATGGAGAAGCCAGCAGAGTTGGGGTGGGGGTTGCAGGATTTGATTTCAAGGGAAATGAGCCCCAGTCTCCTGATGCTGACTAAGGTCCTGTGGGTTAACCAAGGTAGGCATGTATCAGCTCCTCTGTTCCTCAGGAACCTGTCCAGAGAAAGTACTGGAGATCAGGACTGATAGGGGACCCAGAGATGACTTTTTCCAGACTCCCCTTCTGTCCAAGCTGTGCCCAGAGGAACCCCTCTGTGGGGTCTGTACTGCTCATTGCTAGTGGTTTCACTGGTGCCCATGGCATCACTGCCTGGTGAAGGAAATGGAGCAGAAGCTGGGCCCTGGGCCTGGCAGCTGCTTACCAGAACCCAGACTATTGGGCTCATTCTTTGGCCTGTGGGAGAGTTCCTCATGCCGAGCTCCTGCTGTTCTGTGTGGCTCTGGCTGGGACTGTGAGGTCATCAGACCTGCTCTGAGGAGTGTCAGGCTGCAGGAGCTGAGGTTGGAGCTAATGCCTTAAGTGAGAACTCAGTTGGGGCCACACTTGCCTGAAAGCCATCTGTTTGAGAAGGATTTAGAAAAGTCTGGGGCTCCCATGCTTGGAGGTGAGGCTGGCTCAGAGGGACTGAATGGACAATAATACTGGTTTTTTGGGGGGTAGAAAGGAGAGAGAACTGGCTTTAAGTTGCTTGCTTCCTGGCATTTTTAAAATTTTTTTTGGGACATGGTCTTGCTATGTGGTCTCAAACTTGTGATCCTTCTTCCTCAGCTTCCCTTGTGCCACCATGCCCGACCTGACTGTCTTTTACAGTGAAAATGAGTGTATATATTACTGGTGCAAATTTGTAAATTCTCAAAATGATTTCTCAAAGGCATGGTTCAGGTGGTGCCTTCCTAGGAAGACTTTCAAATGGCTGTTTGATGATGGAATCTGCTTTAATATTGCCAGCCTGTGCACTTCTGCAGTCCTCAGTGGCAGGTGGCTTCCCCTTGGCCGGGGTGAGAGGGCATGTGGTTGCCTCTGGTGGCCAATCACCCCTGAACCTACCTCCTGTGGAAAGCAGGTCAGCATGCAGGGTGTGTTGGGAGCTTTCAGCCATGGTCTTTGGACCAGTTCCCTATCTGTGTAAATAAGGCACTCCTGGCACCAGTGCAGCATGACTCCTTCTTCATGTGGTGTTGGGTTTGTGGCAGGATTGAATATTTAGTTAGACACAGACAGACTGTGTGGCCCTGTACGAGGGAGCTTGCCATAGACAGTTGCCTATCCTTCCTCATGGCTTGTTCTTGTTGATTCTCTCAGAGCTGATGTGGATGAGGTCAGAAAGTTTCTCTAGCACTGCATAATGGTTCTTAGGTCCCTGAGTCAGCCCTGCTCACCATTTGAGTGACCTCTGATTTGGGCAAGATCTGTCTTTTCCTCTAGCTACCCCTGGCCCCTGCCCTGGTAGGAATCAAGGCTAGCTGCGTCTCTCAGGTTCCCTGACTCTGGCTTGGGCTTGGTGAGACACAGAGGTCCAATCCCATCTCAGATATTGGCATGATCATTTTCCAGTTTCAAGTCCTCTTGATAAAACAACAAAATGCAGAAATATCAGATGCTGCAGAGAGGCAGCACAAAGGCAGGGACACCTGTGTGCAGATGTGGCTGGGAGGCATCTCTGTGGAGCACCAGTGTATAGTTCAAGGAAAAGGTAGCGAGGTCACAGCTGCTCAGGACTGGTTGGGGTTGGATGGGGAGAGGTGCTTAATTTGCTAGTGTTTTTGCTTAGACGAGATGGTTTCCTTTCAGAAGAGAGATTCTATTGCCCATGAGGTTTGAAAAACCCCAGGCTTGGAGGTTTCCTGGAGCAGAGGCTCAGGGTGGGGAGACGGCGGGCACAGGGGCTTCCATTGAGGGTGGTGGGTATGCTTTTGGGCATCCAGGAGACTCTGGCTATCTCTATTCCCTCCCTCCTGGCTATCCTCACTTTGGGATCCCCCCCCTCATTCTTCATGTCACTTCTTGCCTTACTAAGCCCCTTCCCTGGATCTAGGTTAGTAAATATCCCCCACCCCTATCTGCTAGCACTGCGTCTGTCCCCCTTTCCTTCATCATGAGTGACCTTACTTCTTCCCCTTTGGGATATCCCTTCCATTATGGCATCTGTTTCTTTCAGTTTCCTTTTCCTAGAACTGTGCCTGGCACACAGCAACTCAGGACATTTGAGAGAATGCTGACAGAAATTTGAGACAGGGTGAGATGAGGTTGGAGGGGAAAGCTGAGTGTTTTCTGGGCAGCTGTCTTCCTCAGGTCAGGGGCACAACCATCAGAGCAGCTGGTCAGCCCTGGACCAGCCCCATTGGTCCCATGGTGGACCCTCATTGCAGAGACCTTTGTAGCTGGGCGTGCCTCGCACTAGCTGAGCTCAGGCTTTGCTTGAGTTTTGTATGTGTTCATTATTCAGCAACTACTTTGAGGGCTGGCCTTGTGCCAGGTGCTGTTTTGGGGAGTTGGAATAAGAGTGAAGAAAACATTGAAAAATCTAGGCACTTTTATTCTAAAAAGTTGCCTTGGATTCTCTTCCTCCCCAGCAGAACTGCAGAGGTATAGATACGGAGAAAGGAAAATGTCGTCAGGGAATCCACCATGCTCCTCTTTACCCACCAAGCAGTGGTCAGGCGCCCGCTGTGTGCCCAGGCCTTTGGGGGTGGGCTTCTGGAGGGAATCAGAGCAGGTGGAGGATGGGTGGGAGGTGGCATCTGGATTCTGCCATTCTGCCCTGGAGAAGGACTGACTCGCGGTTGCTATGAGTGAAGGAAGCTAGATGCTCTGGGTGTTCCCTAGAAAACCAGTGTCATGGGCCAAGTTTGACCTAGGGGAGATGAATGATATCAGGCTCTGTGGTTGGACTGAAGTATGTAGGGAGGTGTAAGCAGGGGTCCCTGCTGGGGAGGGGGAGGCCAGATGGCCTAGATCAGTTGCTTCCCTTGCCTTTCAGCTGCTCCATATTGCCAGGAAACTTCTGGGCCAGAAGCTGTTCAACAAGCTCATGAAGATGACCTTCTATGGGCAGTTTGTGGCCGGTGAGGACCAGGAGTCTATCCGGCCTCTGATCCAGCATAACAAGACCTTTGGTGTTGGTTGTATCCTGGACTACGGAGTGGAGGAAGATCTGAACCTTGTGCGCACGAAGTTGGAGTAAGACCTGCCTCTCCAGAGCTGAACAGGCGTCTGGTGGTAACCCCAAACTATACTGGCATTCTGGGGGGCCATGTCCAACTGCTGGGCTTCAGCATCTGCTAGGTGGAGGCCATGGCTAGGAGAGCCAGGTTGATTACCAGCGGCTGTCTTGCATTGTGCCTGTAATTCTTGCAGTTTTGCTTCACGCAGATGATAGCTCTGGACTTTCATGGAAAGCCTGATGTGTGCGTGAGCCCAGCAGAGAGTTGAGAATAGGGCTTGTAAACTTTGGCCCTTGGCCCTCTCCAGCCATCTGACTGGTCTTGCCTCGATTTGCAAGTTAAGAATGTTTTTTGCATTTGTGAATGGTTGAAAGCAATCAGAACAAGTTGAATCACGTTTTGTGATGCAAAAACTATAGAATTCAAGTTGCTTTTGCCCTGTGGGGCAGAGTTGTGTAAGCATGTGGCGTCTAAGGCCGAGAGTATGTACTAACTGGCCGAGAATATGTACTAGCTGGCCGAGAATATGTACTAACTGGCCGAGAATATGTACTAACTGGCCGAGAGTATGTACTAACTGGCCGTTGACACAAACATTTGCTGGCCCTGGTGTCGGAAGCTTCTTTGGCTTCCTGCTTTTCTGCAGTCTCTCTTCCTAAGGATTCCTGACTGGCTGGGTGGGTCCTCTACCCCACCCTCACCCGCCTTGGCCCATCCTGAAATCGTTTCCTAATCTGCAGGTGGCTCTGTCTGGAGGGTATGGAACCTGCCAATTTGGGTCTCTGCCCAGGCATCCATGTTGAAGGGAATTGCTGTGAGGAACAGTGTGGCAGGCCAGCCTCGAGTCTCCTCCTGACGTTACTGTCCTATTCCCTGGGCAGTGAGTACTGGGGACAGATTTCACTGACGTGCCCTTGTGGGCAACAGGACAGAATGACCTTATTCTGCTTCCTGGTGTAATGCCAGACTCACCAGAAGTCCATGCAAGAACAGTCCCTTCTTTGCAAAGAGTTCGTGCCTGCAACCCTGCAGGCCAGCCCTCACTGGTTTTGGGTTCTCTGACTCTGACTGTGGCTGCATCTGACCCATGTGAGGCTTAGGACAGGCCAGCTGTAGACCTTGTCAGGCCCCAGGGTTTGCTTTGCCCCTCCCCAGGTAGCTGCAGGGAGGGGGTAGGGAAAGACAGTCACATGAGGCCTCTTACCCTGGGAACAGAATGTCTGTCCTTGTTTCAGCATGCTGGTTCATAGCTGATTGGCCTGAGGATCATAGCCTGTGTCTTGTGATTGGCTGTTTTGAAGGTGGAGTGGAGGGGTTACCCAGCCCAAGCACCCCCCTGTGAGCCTCTCTGCTGCCAGGGAACCTGATTGTAGTCTTTACTGAAGCTGCCTGTTGAATCACTAATGGGTTCTGTGGCCTCAGTCCCAGACTGGGTGAGGACTTGGTGGTTGCATAATGGGAACTTCTCTCTTAGGCTCTTGTGGTATGAAAATTGGAAGTAGAAGCCTCGTATGGTGGTACATACCTGTAATCCCAGCACTAGGGAGGTTGAGGAAGGAGGATGAAGAGTTTGAGTCCAGCCTGGGCTACATAGTGAGACCAGCCCTTGCAAAAGAAAGAAAAAGAAAATTGGAGGTGGGCCTGCCTGTGCCTGGCCTGAGGCTGCCCCTTCCATCCCACCCTGCCCTTAGGAGCCCATCTCTCTGGCACTGCCTCCATGGGTTGTTCAGATTTTCTGCTTGTCCTACAGATGCTGTGCTTGGGCTGTGGGACATGAATGGTGATTCCTCCCTGACCTAACAGGGTTACTTACTGCCATCCAATGAATACCAGTGACAGGTGACAAGGATGCATGCCCAGGTCTGCTTCTGGTGGCTGTACCTTTGGAGGGGCCCGTGCTGTAGAGCAGGACTGGACTTGCAAGAGGTCCTTCATCCTCCACCCTATCTTGTGACCTCCATGGGTATGCCTGGCCAGGAATGACCAGCCCTGCAGACTCCTGTGCATGTCCCTTGAGGGGGGAGGGGGTAGAGATCTGTTTTCCTAACCCACCCTCCTGTCACAAGGCCCATAGACTAAATAACACAGGGGAAGGATGTGAAGGCCACTACTCTGAATTAAGGCCGTGCGGGAGGGGGGGAGGGTGTCTCTGGCCTGCACCTGCCTAATGGAGGGAGGTGGAGCTACGTGGTTACAGAGCCAGATCTTCCCATCTGAAGTCACTCAGGTGCCCTGAGGCCCAGCGTCTCTCCTTCCTTGTCATAAGGGATTCTGCCCTGGGCAGCACTTGGTTGCTTTCTCTGCCTTAGCGTGGCTATCCATGGGGGATGGCTTTGGTTGGCTGTTCTTAAGCCTGAGATTGGTCTGCTTGAGCCCACATCAGGGATCTTGGGAAGGGGCCCAGGAGCTCTCTGTCCCAGGCAAAAAGGTTGTGCGTATCGCTTCTCGGCCTTTTGGCTAAGATCAAGTGTAGTATCTGCTCTTATCAGTTTAATATCTGATACATCCTCTATCCGAGGACAATATATTAAATGGATTTTTGGAACAGGAAGATGGAATAGGGGCTTGCTCCATCCACTCCATGCATTGACCTGGTATTGCAGTACTTCCAGGAACAGTAACCAAAAAAAAAGGTCATGTGTGGGGCTTCGTCACATAGTGACTTTTCACTCTCTTCTGAGCATGAGGTGGCTATAGCTGTAGCTGACTGCCTTGCTCCTGCTCCTCCCACCCCTCCTCCCCCATTCCCTGGGTCATGGCTTTGTGGGCTGAGTGTCATGAGGGGAGCTTCAGGCCTGTAAAGACTTGGCCCCACTGTGATTTCTGAGTCCTGACGTGGGTGTTCTGGCTCAAAGTCCCCAGATAAGAGCCCTGGGACAGGAACTGGGTCCAGGGGAGGGCTTTTTGACAAGGGGTTCAGTGAACTAGGACTTGCTCTGTCAGTAGTGATGTCAGAAGCCATTGGTGACAAGGCCACTTGATACATGAGGCCTCCAAGGTACAGGTAACTGTTGCCTGTCATCACTCTCCATCTCTGCCTTTGTCCTGAGGGATGGTTGGGGAAAGCCACTGTCCTTTCTTATGAGCGCCAGTATACTAGCCTCAAAGTCCTGACCTTATGAGGATTTTGGAAGTCCTAGGATATTATGGGAAACTGAGAAGCTTTTTAAGAAGGGCTTTTCAGGGGAAACATGTACTCCAGGGGATGGAGCACTAGGAGAGGGGCACATGAAGAGCTGGAGGAGGAGACAGTAACATCTGGTTTGCTTTTCTTTTTTTTGTGGTACTGGTGTTTGAACTCAGGGCCTGAGCCAACTCCGTCAGCCCTGGTTTACATTTTGAAAGAAAATTTCTGGTTGTTAATTTGGAAAATAAGCTCAAGAATCAGGAATGAAGCAGGGAGAGCCAGGTAGGGTGATATACACCTATAATCCCAGCACTCAGGAGGCTGAGGTAGGAGGATCACAAGTTTGAGGCCAGCCTGGGCTACATAGTGAGACCCTGTTTCAAAAAACCCCAGAACCAACCAAATAAAAAAAGAATGGATGTCCTCTGAGGAGCATGCACCTTCGATGTGGGTGTAGAGGCTAGAGCAAGTGGGACTTTGTGTGCGGATGGCTTCCTGCCTTCATTCCTCATCTGGCTGTGTTCTTATCTTCCCTGGGCAGAAACAATGCCTTCTTGCTACCTTTTCCCAAGAATGAGCTATGTGCTCTAGGCTGTTCTGAGACTCCCCACAGATAGCTTTTATTACTCCTCACTAGTAGGGAGGGGCTCCATCCACAAGATATAGGAGGTTCTTGGTGCTGAAAGGCTGCTGTCTCTCCCTGGTCATGCCTGAGGGTTGGGGAGGGGTGGAGGAGGGGCCGGGTCTGCCTGGCCAACCCTGAGCAGGACTGTGCGTTGGAGCCAGCCCTGTCAATGTCACCATCATGGTTATGATCAAGTCCACAGCTCAGCCTCAGCAGCCCCTCCTTGTGACCTGCAGCTCAGGTGGTGTGACTCTGACCTTTGCCTCTTCCTCCTTCCTGCAGGTCATGTACCTCTGAAGTACAGAGGGATGGCAGTGGTAAGTAAGATACCCTCTCCATCCCTGTGCATATCCTGGTGGCCCATCTGTGTTTGGGGTCTGACCAAGCCCTGGGGCGAGGGATAAGGCCTAAGGCTCCTCCTCAGGCCCATGGCTCTCAGTGTGGCTCTGTGGGCCCTCCCACACCTGACAGCCCCCTGGTGAGGGGCAGGCCCCACTTAGTTCTCACATCCCTCCCAGGTGGACTCAGTTTCCTTGACCCCCTCCGTGGGCAACAAACCAAGCCTTTGTGGTAGTGACACGCTTGGTTTGCCCACAGTGTGGCTTAGCTAGGTGGAAGGAACAGCAAGGGCGGGGGAGCATGGCTAAGTGGGGCGGGGAGAGGGATAGCTTTTGGGAACTGCAGGGTGCACAGCACAGGGGGCCTGGTTTGACCCATCCTAAGGGCGGTGGGGCCCTGGGATATCACTGGTGTGTGTCAGGAGTTGGGGATTAGAGGTGTATCTCTGAGTAGAGCTGGTGTCTGTGCTCAGGCCGTGTGTCTACCTTCGCAGGCACAAGTAAGAGTGAAAAGCAGTATGAGGACCATGTGGTGTTCGGAGACTGCAGGGATGATGTCATCTGTGCCCGCATCAACGTCTATGCCAACGAAGCCAAGTGTGACAGTAACATGGAGACCCTCTTGTTTTCCATTGAGGCCTTAGGTAGGTCTGCTGCACACACTTGTCAGGCCCCAGCCTGGGCAGACCCCTGGGGAGGTGGACACACTGGTTGGTGAAGAAAGCTGGGGTGGGAGTGAAAGGACTGGGTTGAGGTCACACTGGGGTTGTGACATGTTTAGTCCCTTCCTGAGGGTCCTGGCTGTTTCCTAGACGGCTCCTCCTGCCCTGCTTTCTTCCTACCCTCCATTCTCCTGCCCTCTTCTGGGCATGGTACTCAGATGTGGAGTGATAGAAGTCCAGCCCTGGGGTCAAGGCTCAGTTCAAGGAGCTGGTGCCCCATACGCTTTGATAGGGAATCATTCCCTGCTGCAGCCTGTGAGGGATGGGGGGAGGTGAGTTAGGCCATAGGTCATTAAACCCCAAGTTCTTAAGTCTTTAAGAACACAGAGACCCCAGCACAGTCCCTATGCTGTCCCTAGCAGCTCTGCCATTAGTGGTAGTGGGTCCCATGGCTTTTGAACATTTTAAAAGCTCAATGAATAAGGGATGCTTGGAAGTGGCTGCCTAATGGGCTGGTGGGGGGAGTCCCAAGAAGTCGAGCCAGTGCTCTTGTCATTTTGGTGAGTGGTATCTGCTTGCCCCCTGCTAACTCTCCTTGGGAGCAAACATAAGGTAGGGGGACATTTCAGCACAGATTGGCACCCTTCCTGCCCCAGCCCTTATTTTGCTTGGCCTTTCTGTGTCCTGTAATCCATGCATGGACAGCCTGTAGTGCTCACAGCATGGGGAGGAAACTGAGGTAGGGAGAGCTGGGGAGGCCATCAGGGCTGCACAGTGATATGCAGGTCTTGCTGGTTCCTTTCCTTGTTGTTTTCCTGCACCATGTGGCAGACACAAATACGAGTGGTAACTTCCTGCCTCTGTGGCAGGGTCTCTGTAGAGGATGTTTGAGGGGCTGGGTAGCACTGGGGTTAGGGACCTGGCAACAGGACCAACCTGGGGGAGTGGGGAGCTACAGGGCACACATGGTCCTCTAGGCTCCTGGTCTCCCTCTTCTACCCAGTGACCCTCACAGCTCTTCCTTTGGCTTCTGACAGGTGCAGTCAGTGATGATAACTTCTTAGCCATTAAACTCACTACACTGGGGAGACCCCAGTTTCTGGTAAGTGCTAGAACCTTCCATGTACAGAGTCTTTGCAAGATTTTGGGGTGATGCCATGGGCCTTAACTGACAACAGATGTGCATATACCTTGGAGGCTGTGAACTAGGGTTGCAGGGTTGGGGCGGAATGCATGTCGTCTTGGGGGTCCCTGGGGTAGTATGGGGGTCTGGGGGACCTGGGCAAGTTCTGCAGACATTAGCTCAGGTTTGTATGTTTGCAGCTGCAATTCTCAGACATGCTGATCAAGTGGAGACGGTTCTTCCACCAAATGGCTGCAGAACAAGGGCAGGCTGGACTTGCTGCTGTGGATGTGAAGCTGGAGGTGGCAGCACTGCAGGTGGGGCAATCCTTCCCTGCTTCCCTGTAGACGTGAGGGGCAGGCACCATGGGGGCTTGGGAAGGAGCCCTACCCAGCACCACCGGCGGGGGACGAAGGGTTCAACACATGAGCCTGTGGGGGGGACATTTCATATTCAAATCATAACAGTAACAAAGACTGGAAGTGCTGGCAAGAGAGGAGGGGGCTGGCTCTGCAGGTAGTAGATTGGGGGAGTTACAGGGATGGAAAAGGGTACTAGTAGACTCATCTCTGCAGCAAAAAACAGGAGGCTGAAATGAATTCTGTTCTTGGTAATGATGTAATAAAGTCAAACAGCACTACAGAACCATGGTGCAGGGGAAGAGAAGTTAATGGATGCATCCGGGAGATGACCGCTCTGACTCTGCCTTCTCAATTCTCAAGGAAAGCATTGCCAAGATGGGCATCGCATCCAAGGCTGAGATTGAGGACTGGTTCACACTGGAGACCTTGGGAGAGTCTGGGTAAGAGCTGAGTCCCAGCTGAGAAGAAGGAGGACCATCTACCCTGGTGAGCCATGGTACCAGCTGAGCTCCAATGGCTTCTTTTAATCCTGGTCACCTCCTTGGAGAGAGTGGGCCTTGAGGGTGGTTCCTGATGGGGAGGTGGGAGTTGCTAGTTGCTGGAGCTGGGCAGTGTGGACACAGGGCTTCCTATAGAATTACCTGGGTCCCAGAGTAAGGGTGTCACATGCAGCCCTCATGGAGAGAGCCACACTGGCACGCTCAGGGCTAGGGGCTAGGACTGAGGTCACCAGGTCCCCTCTAGTCAAGTCAGGGAGGTGGCTCAGGGTAGAGCCACTGAGCCTTGCATGTGGCCCTGGGCCAGTCCTTCCTGCTGCAGCTCCCCAGTCTTTCTGCAACTCTGTCTGTCTCCTGCCTGGTCGCCTACCTTTGCCCCTTCCCTGTGCCCACCTGACCTTGGCATTCTCAGTGCACACTTTGCATTTTTATAGCAGGCACCCCTTTGCAAGAACGTTCATGTTTAGGTTTTAATTTTTTAAATGGGGGAATACTAGTATCTTTAAAAAATGAACACCACTGTGGGTTTTGTTGGTGGCTTGGTTTGGGAGTACTCTTTCAAGGAATAGACTGGTTTGGGCCTGGGACCTCCAAAGAACCCTCGTGCCTGTGTGTAAAACTGCTTGGCTGGATAGAGACTGCGGCCACTCTGCTCACTCACCTTGTCCCTCAGCACTGTGGACTTGTTGGACTGGAGCAGCCTCATTGACAAGACCCGGCTCTCCAAGCACCTGGTGGTCCCCAATGCACAGGTAATACTCCCCCTCATTGGGCCAAGAAGGGAATATGTCACTTGCTGCCTACCCTGGGGACTCGTGTGACTGATATTGCATCCTTTCTAGCTCCACGAGGAGGAGACAAACCACAGTGTCCACAGAGCGCTCAGTAGGACACAGATCATGTGGATCCTTGAGGCACCATGAGGGAAGGGTGTCTGTGGGTCACCCCAAGTCATCTAGCCTTGTGTGTTAGGCCACCCCAAATGTGTTCAGAAATGGCAGCAGTTGCTTTGTTCCCTCTCGGAGGTCTGTGTTGACAGGGCTCAGCTGGGACAGTTTGGGGTCTCCCATGCGTTTGTACTCAGAGTGGGCTTAGAGGTGCTCCACTTATGTCCTGAGGCTGATGCTGGCTATTGGCCAGGCTTCCTCCCATCTGGCTGGGTTTTGAGGGTGAGTGTCCCTTGAAGCCAGGGCTAGATAGAAGCTCTGTATCTTCTCCAGTCTGGCCTCTGAAGTCACAGTGTTACTTCTGCTTCATTCAGTTTGTTGAAAGCGAGTTGTGAGGCTTTCCTGTATTCAGGGGAAGAATGGGACTGCTTGAAGCCCCACCTATGCTCGAACGGGAGGGAGGGATAGAAGAAGCACCATGGAAAAGTGTCCTGCAGATGCCTCTTCCATACTTTCAGCCCCAGCCCCAAACTTTGTGCCACTGACCTAGAGCCTCAGGGTGTGACCATGTTCAATGCAGCTCTGTTCCACAGTTAGGCTGTTGGAGCTATATGCATATATGTGGCCAGAAGTAAAGTGTTGGTACCCAGGGAGGTGAGGCTGCTGGGAGCTCGTGGGGTGGAGTAGGGTCATCAGCCCTCCCAGGAGCATCCTGGGCCATGTCAGCAGGAGAATGAGAGGCCCTGGAGCTGCATGGGTTCCCTAAAGTGGGTGCTGCTCCTTCCAGTCACCAATCCTCAGCTGATCTGCCTGACTCCATGAAGGCTACCATCTTGGTTCTTCTGCTGCATGTCAGTCTGTATCCTATGGCCATCCCATGTGGCCTGTAGCACAGTTCTTTCTCTGGAGCCCTTTCCATGTTCCAAGCTGAGCCCCTCTTGTTGATTGGGTGGTCAAGTTTCACTTTCTTTGCCTTGTGTGGCATCAGTACTCCTCCCCCAGCAGTGGAAGGCTGTGGAAACAAATACCTTGGAGTGCAGGCCTGTCTTGGGCCTGAAGGTGCTACTATGGGCACTGAGCTCCCTGCTGATGCTGTCAGGCTCCACATAGGACGGGGAGCTAGCTGACCATAGCGTTCCAGGGCATCATGCCAATGTGGCTGGCTGGTCTAGGGCAAGGCATGCATAGTAGGGGAGACACAAGGAAAGGAGGCCTCCCTGGTCCTGGGATAGGTTCCAGTGGCCCTCCTGACCTGCTTGAGGGGTAACGGTACTGGTGGGCTAAGGGCAGCACTGCTGAAAGGTACAATGCTAGCCTCAAGGCAGAGCCTCCCTAGGCTCACTGTGTCCTGACTGAGTACTGTGTTCTCAGACAGGACAGCTGGAGCCCCTGCTGTCATGGCTCACCGAGGAGAAGGAGCTGCAGATGACAAGGATGCTGCAGAGGATGGATGTGTTGGCCAATGTGTGAGCCGGCCCCATGTGGGGTGGGGGGGTCAAGGTGCTAAGAATCCTGGGACTTGCCTAGAGGGAGGGAAATTGTCTCACTGGAGCTACAACTCTCCTGCCCCTGCTGCACCTCTCAGAAAGCCATGGAGGTGGGTGTGCGGCTGATGATTGATGCCGAGCAGACTTACTTCCAGCCAGCCATCAACTGCTTGACCCTGAAAATGCAACGTAGATTCAATGTAGAGAAGCCGCTCATCTTCAACACATACCAGTGCTACCTCAAGGTACAGCCTCCCCAGCTGTATCCAAGGCTTGATCTCAAGCCCTCTGCTCTGCAGTGTGACTGGTTACTCTCTGGGGTGTGGGGTATCCATCTGCCTGGCTCTGCTCTGTGCAGAGGTTGGGTATATGGAACAGGAAAAGGAGGGAACAGGCCACTAATCTGGGACTGGGCTCTATTTTCCAGGAAAGAGGACCCTGCCCAGTGGCTATGCCTGGCTTTGCAGGGAGCTGAGGCTGTGGTGACTGCCTCAGAGTAGGAAGCAAGGCTTCCAAGGATCTTAGCAGCAGCCCCTTTGTGGGCCTTGGGACTTACACAAGAGTGTGTGAGGGTGGAAAGACAAAGGAACTTTCTAAGAGTTCCTGTGATGTGCCTTAAACCCCAAATTTTGGGGCTGGTGGAGTGGTTTAAGCAGTAAGAGTGTGTGCCTAGCAAATGTGAGGCCTTGAGTTCAAACCCCAGTGCTGCCAAAAACAAAAACAACAAAAAAAGCCCCCCAGATTTTGAAAGCTTCACAGATGACCATTTCTTTCTGTCCAGTTTTCACACAGGACTATCTTAATCTAATGAAAACGCTGGGCTCCTTCCTAGATTTGCCCAGAATTTTCCATTTACAGGGGAGCCAGATGTGTTTTGGGGTATACCCCCAACCTCAGTGCTGCAGCCTGAGGCTGCTAAGTTGCTGGGAGCTTGTACAGGTCCAGAGCTCATGGGCACAAATCAGGTACCAAGAGGACACAGTGTGGTTGTGAGGTCCAGGCTGGTGGCACCTGCATGCATCCTGCTCCCAGCGAGACAAGGAGATTCCAGTACACAATGACACCTGGTACTGAGACTGACCCCCCCTCTCCCCACCGCCAACCCCTGCCCACACACATGGCTGTCCCCAGGCCACACGGAGGAGGCCCTACTGTCATCCCATCTTGGGGACAGAGGTCAGAAGCCCAGCGTCTCCCACACCTGTCTCCTAGATACTGAGTAGCACATCCTTCAGGCAGCTGCTGCCTGGCTAGGTGCCCCAAGCTGACATACCTGGGAACACCTAGGCACCAGAAGGTCCCTGTCCTGCTACCAGTGGGGCTCTCTGTGACTTTTGGCCTTGGCCCCACAGGAAGCATATGACAATGTGACACTGGGTGTGGAGCTGGCTCGCCGTGAGGGCTGGTGTTTTGGGGCCAAGCTGGTACGTGGTGCATACATGACCCAGGAGCGTGCCTGTGCTGCAGAGATTGGCTACAACGACCCCACCTGTCCCACATATGAGGCCACCAATGCCATGTACTACAGGTGAGCTGGTTCTCCTGTGACCATGCTTCCTGCGGTGGGAAGTGAGGGCTTTGGGAGACAGTGCTGTGCTGACCCATTCAGCTAGAAGCCTCCAGTGTGTGCACAAGATGTATATCCTGAGGGCACAGGCCATGTTTCTTCTGATTTTGTGTTACTTTCTAAAAAACATTAATGTTTCCCCCTTTTAAGCATACAGAAGTATACTAAACAAAACTAGCCTTGATCCTTTGGCTGATTCCTGTTAACATGCATTGAGCCAGTGGCCCCATGCCACTGGCTCGGCATTTGCTTTTCAGTCCACACAGTGGATCAGCAGTTGTGTGCCTGCTGTGTTTGCTGTTTATCTCAGGGATATTTTGCACAGGGCAAGCAGTCCAATTGTGTGTGTCTTCTGTCAGAGAAAGCTGGTTGCAAATTGTGTTGTGTGCATGTTGCAGATTTGAAGGGGCTCTGGGTGTCTCCTTGCCAGCTCCAGCGCTCTTGCTGGTGCACCCATTTCCAAGGCACATTGCCGTGCCATGCACATCTGCCCTGTCAGTGTTTACACTGTACAGTCTGTCCTTTGCCTCTTGCTGTTTTTATTTAATACTCTTCCTGTGTCAGCCTAAAGAGCAGCATCCAGCATGGGGTGCCCAAGGTTACATATCCAGGCTCTGAACAGGTTCACTGAACATCTTGTTTTCCTCTGTTATTACACATGCTCTTTGAAGATCTGTGTCTGAGCCTTTGCATGGTCCTAGAAATGGCATTGCTGAGTCAGAATGTTCACCGTCAAGCCTGACGTTTGTTCTTGCTGCATGACAACAGTAGCACTGTATCTCCCTGGTGCACAGATACCCTCCTCACGCAAGGCCTCCAGGGATCCACTTACTTTTATTGTCTTGAAGGGTCAGGAATGCACTGTAGGGTCCCTTCCCAGAAGCAAAGCTGCAGATCCAGGCAGGTCTCCGCCGGTTTAATGTGGAGATGTCATGCCCTAGCCTTTTCTCTGAATCATCTCATCCAAGTTGTTGCTCGCTTTTTCCTGGTTGATGATTCTTCCTCTTCACCAGATACTAAGGAGGGCCAAGTGCAATTTTTGTTCCTCCTGCCACTGTGGCACCTGTGGGAGGAGCCAGCCTGCCAGATGGTTTTGGGCCCGCAGAACCTCTTTCCTCTGGTGCCACAGTGGGGGTACAAGTGGCATGGTCCTGGACCAGGTTCACATGGTGCTCTTCCCAGGTGCCTCAACTATGTCCTAGAGGAGGTGAAACACAATGCCAAGGCCGAGGTGATGGCAGCCACCCACAATGAGGACACAGTGCGCTTCACCCTGCGTAGGTAGGTGCTGCCCACCTCCAGATGTTGGGTTCTTCGTGGTTGGGGTGAGTCCGTAGTGGCCCAGGGCTCAGGGTACACACAACACCAAGTGCTGCTGGATGTTTTGGGGATGGGTAATGTCTGCGGAATGAGCTGGCTCAGCTTTTAGCACCCCATGGGCCCCAAGCCTGGTTGGAATTCCTAATGCTGCCCTGCAGGAGCAAGACTATTTGTAGTTACTTCAGTTTTTAAAATTAATACCCAATTTATTAAAGTTTCAAATTCAAAAAATACATGTTGCCAGGTGATTTAAATAGCTGATTAAAATGTCCAGACTCAGTGTTAGGTCTCAGTACTCCTCTCCAATGTGCCACCTTACTTAGAAACAGTTTGTTTTATTTTAAACTGCATTTGAGATTTAATATAGTCTGTTTTCTCTTTAAATGCTTGTCCCATGGAGCATAACTTTGGTAGAATTCTAACAGGTCAAATACAGAAATAAAGTGAAGTAAATTTCTAAATATTCCAGTACTTTCATAAAGGTTTCATAGTTCATACCTTAGCTCTGGCAGTGCCTGCACTAGGGTTCCCTCTCCTGTTTCTCCTGGTCCCCACCAGTGTTTGGGCCCATCAGAGGCTACTTTTGGCAGCAGCGTTGCTGGCCCTCATCCTTCCAGGAGCCAGATTGGGAGCCCCCACTCCCAGTGGGGCAGCCCCATCTCATGTTGGACACTGGGTGTCTTCCTGAAGGAACAGTGAAGCGTGAAGCCGTAGGATTGGGCAGTGAGAGCAAGGATACTTCTAGGCACTGCTTGCTGAGCCAACTGGAAGTTTTTAAAGTCATTCAGTGACGTTGAAACTCTGTTTGCTGTGGTGGTGTTTTCACAGCCTGAAATCACAGGGGTACCCCATTTGCACCGACCTCAATTACATGGGAAGACAGGGAACACCAGTGGGTTGGAGGAGGGGTCAGCAGCCCTCCTTACACATGCCCCACTACCACCTGATCTTGGAGCCAAGCCCAGGAGGGAAGGGAAGGACCTTCAGGCTGAGCTGGCAGGCAGACCCTGAGACAGACAGTGATGGGATTAGGATGAGAGAGAGAGAGAGAGAGAGAGAGAGAGAGAGAGAGAGAGAGAGAGAGAGAGAGAGAGTGTGTGTGTGTGTGTGTGTGTGTGTGTGTGTGTGTGTGTGTGTGTGTGTGTTGGGGGCGGGGGTGAGGAGGCCCAGGGAGGCCATGCCCCAAGGTGGGGACCCCAAGTGCATGTGTGCTAACACCTGGAAATAGGAAGCTAGAGATGAAAACATGGCAATCATCAGTGCATAGGTATTTTATACCTGGGAAGTTTGGTTAGATCCTGTAAGAGGTGGCATGAAGAGAGGAGAGGTGCTGGACAACTGGGGTACCCCATCCCAATACTTGAGCAGTGCTAACAAGTATAATGTAAGACACAGGTGAAATTTTAATTTTCAAGTAACCAGCTTAAAAGACAAAGATAAAATTAATTTCTGTAATGTTTTAGAGCTGGGGGAATGGCTCAGTGGTAAGAGCACTTGCCTAGCATGTACCAGTCCCTGAGTTTGATCCCCAGGACCACAAAAAATTATAATTTTGCACTCTCTCTCTCTCTCTTTTAAACTAAGTTTTCAACATCCAGTGTGTAGTTGACATTTGCAGCACATTTGATGCAGACCAGCTACCTTCTAAGGACTCAGGTTGCTGGAGGCTGCATGGGGGACACAGCAGCTGTACAGATGGAGTAGAGGAGCTGTCAGCAAGGGGAGGATGGGGAAGGGGGGTAGGACAACAGGCAGCAGAAAAAATCCCAGAGGGCCAGCAGAATGGCACAGGAGCTTCCCTGGGTCAAGGGCAGGCCCTGCAAGGTTAGGGTTGGGGAGGGGGAGAGAAGGTGTGGGAAAGACAGTGGGGAGGGGACAGGGACAAAGAGGGAAGGTGGAGTCCTATAGGATATGGGCCAAGCTTTCCCCCATCAGCAGGGCACCCAGGCAAGTCCTTTTGGGAAGAGACCAGGTTGGGGTACAGGAAAGCCCACACCTCCTGCTCACGCTGCAGGGGACAGAGGCTAGAGTATAGGGAGGCGGGTCTAGGGGTGGACGTAAGACTGCTGTGTGTGGGACACAGCAGCTGTTCAGATGGGGCAGTAGACCCTGTATTGCCCCAGAGGCAGTATCTGGGGCCAGTCCTCACCTGCGTGGCATCCCCTTCCACAGGATGGAGGAGCTAGGCCTGCATCCCGCTGACCGCCAGGTGTACTTTGGACAGCTGCTGGGCATGTGTGACCAAATCAGCTTCCCACTGGGTGAATTGGGTCTCCCTGGGCTGGGTGGGATGGGGGCACCCTGGTGGGGATGGGTCTACTCACAGCTTCATCTACCCTGTGTACAGGCCAGGCAGGCTTCCCTGTGTACAAGTATGTGCCCTATGGCCCCGTGATGGATGTGCTGCCCTACCTGTCACGCCGGGCCCTGGAGAACAGCAGCATCATGAAGGGTGCCCAGCGGGAGAGGCAGCTGCTGTGGCAGGAGCTGCGGCAGCGGCTCTTCACTGGCCGTCTCTTCCGCCTGTCCTAACCACACACTGCTACCAGGGCCACCATTGTGCTCACCTCTACCACACTCAGTCTGTTACCTCCCAGAGCCTCAGGCCTGGGCAGGGATTTGGGTGGTCTTGGGGTGGCCTCCAGGCTATTGCCACAGCTGCCATGCAACTCCAGCCTTACAGGATTCACCTTTTTACACCCAAGGCTTTGAGACCCACTGGAGATGGGGCCAGATTCCCTTGGTGCCCTTACATCCCAGGAGCAGGCCGTGAAGCATGGATGGGAGGAGTCTGATATGTGCCTCTGAGAACTTATGGCCCAAGGCCCCACCTCTGCCAGCCTCCATGGTCTTGGACCTGCAGGACCCACTTTCAGCCAAGGTCCAACCCATGTACCTGAGCCCCATAGGTGGGCAGTGGTCCAGCTGGTCAATAAATCACTATTCTGCAGCTGAGAGCCTCAGCTCCACGCAGTGCCCTCTCCTGAAGTCAGCTCACTCCAGCAGGACAGAGGGAGTGGCATGGATGGTGAAGTCCCACATTCAGGCTCTGGAAGCCAGGCCTGCCATGGGTCATTGGGCAACACCTCTAACTGGCTGTCATGATACCCAGCTGCCTGAAACTCCACAACCCAGAAACCAGTGGGGCCTGAGCCTTGGTACCTCAGACTTGCCTGCCACTCTGTGCCCTTCACTCCAGCAGTCCCAGTGTCCTGCCAGGCTACTGCTGCTCTGATAGACCACTGCAAGTCTGTGGCAGGTGCTCCCTCTCAGTACCAACCCACCTCTGCCTCTGTGCTCTCCAGAACCACACACAGCAGTGTGGGCGTGGCCTTCGTGCCCCGTGCAGATAAAGCAATGACAGTGCCAGATATGAGAGCTGGGGCTGGCAAGGCCAGGAGGCTCACAGAGACTGCACAGGTGGGGCTGGGCATCCCCGGAGGAAGGGAGTCTCAGGTGAGGCCTCTGCCACAACGTAATGGTTACATCAGACGGGGGCCACTCTGCTGGTTCCAACATAGCCACACAGCTACCAGAAAAGGGCCCTACACGGGCTCTGATTATGACAGAAACCACAGACATACAAGCCACATGAAAGTATCCTTATTTCTCTGGGTCACACAGGGCTTGGGCTTTGGAGCCCCTTCTACTTGGGGGCTGCCATTGTCAAGGGGCCAAGACCAAAACAAGTACAAGGCCTGGGGCCTGGGAGAGGTTGGCATGTGCCAAGAGTGGAAAGGTGCTAGAACCAACAGCCCTGCTCTCCACAGGTCCTGCAGCAGTCAGCAGTGAGGCTGGGCCTCTCTCTCTGACACAGTCCTAGTGCTTGGATTAAAAAAAAAAAAAAAAAAAATCCCATAGGTGCAGCAGGGGCTCTCCTCTTCTCAGAAAGGTGACAGCTGCTGGCTACTGGGAAGTCAGTGGCCAAATATCAGGAAGACAAGCTCTGTGTGGCTTTCCTGCAACAGTGGACAAGGCTGCATTCCCAGCCACACTGGGCAGTAGTAGAAAGCAGGGACTCTACCTGGTCATAGAGCTGCCTTCGCCGCCTGGCAGCCCCTCTGCTGCAGCTTCCGGATGAGTTCCAACAGGTTCATCTGCAGTGTCAGCTCCTGGGTGCAGAGAGACCCATGAAGACCAGAATGCCATCTAGTGCCATTGTGCCCTGCCCCAACAGGCAGACACCAGGTTCTAGAGTGCAGGCAACGAGACCATAGGGCTGACTTCCCTGTGGAGGTTGACCAATGGCCTCTGTCCCCAGCAGGATCAGCAGTCTGATCAGCACATTCAGAGGCACGCATGAGGGCAGGACAGAAAGGCCCTGAAGGACACAGCAGGACTGGGGAAGGTAGACAGTGGGACTTGGCCTCTCTGCCCTTCTAGAGCCTCACTTCCATTTCACCCCTGATGACCTGGACTCACTTGCCAGGGACCGCTGTAAAAACCAAGGTGGGCCAGACGTGGTGGTGCACACTTGTAATCCCAGCACTACAGAAGCTGAGGTAGGAAGATTATGACTGTAGACCAGCCTGGCCTATGAATGGAGATCTTGTCTTAGGAAAACAAAGCCAAACAACTGCCTTATCTCCAAAAGCTCCAGATGGAACTGGGCCTTCAGGGATCTGTAACACAAGGCGGGAAGGGCAGGCCCAGGTGCTTACCTGTGGGTTGGTGGTTACATAGAAGCCAGCTACCCCTGCCTTCTCAAGTGTGCTCTGCTGGTCAGCCACCTTCCGGTCCAGCTCTAGGACAATCTTCCGGTCCATTGCCTGCTGCTCCTCCCGGATCCGATGCTCCACTGCCTGTGTGGGCAGGAAGTAAGAGTGGCTCCAGGCTCAGCCTCTCACCTGCTGGCACCTCCTGGCTACCTTGTCTGTCCCCAGTAGTACTGGCCCCAGGATGATGGGTGCCTTCACCATACCCAAGCCTCTCCCTTCTCCTTGGCCTCACCAAACCCTGCAGGGGAATTCCAAGAGCATTTTCTGCCAGCTCCATCTGGGTGCTACTTTGAGATCTGCCAACTATCTCTGCTACCACCCTTAATCACCACCCCAACCCAGTGGCTTGTTGATTACATGTTCTCCAGCTGACCCTGAGTTCCCTGGAAGGAGGATGGGTCCTTTTTTGGCTGGTGCTCCAGTATGTGGCTTGTAAGCCTGAGGCCACTGGGGCAATACTCAGCACTCAGGACCTGCTCTATGTAGGCCCCACCACACAAGAAGCTGCTGTTTTGGGGAGCAGGGGAATCACAAAGGCTTCACTTCTCTGTGCTCTCACAGGGAAAAGCTATGTGCTGGGACTCTCCAGACCTCCAGTGACTCACCAGGTTCAGAGCAATCAGCATTCCCTGTGCTACCCAGAGCCCCCTTCTGCAGAGCCAGGCGATGCCACCCTATCCCAGCTCCCCTACCTCCAGTTCACGCTGCTGAGCTGCCTGGAGCACGGGCAGATTGTGTGATCGGCAGGCCTGCTGGGCTTCCAAGTGCTTCTGCCGCAGGGCTTGCCTGAGCACTGGGAGGCAATGAGAGCCATCAGTACCAGCAAGCACAGGGGAGAGGGGAGCAGCCCCAAGACAGGATGAGGAGGGGACCCAGGGCACACCTCCCCTCTCAGTGCCTGCCCCCAACAGCCAGGCCAAAGGAGATGGAAAGCCCCACCTTATGATCCCACCCTGCCCAAACCCTGCACTGGGAAGCTGGGTGGAGCTTCAATCCCTTAGGCCTGCCTTCATCCAGGGCATTGTGCCCAGGGCACCTTCCTGCCTCTCCAGGGGACTCCAGAAGGTGCAGGGCACTAAGGGGGGGGGTTAGGGCAGGGAAGGCTGGCACACAGGTGAGCTCAGAGCTGCAGCCTAGACTTGGAAGATCAAAGGCAAGAAGAGGCAGTGAGAAACTGAGGTTTGGGGGCTCTGGCCTCAGATGGTGCAGTCCCAGGCATGCCATCACCTGTGGGACACCTGAAATGTTCAAGAGACAAAAGCCTGGTAAAGGAGGGAGGAGTGAGGTTGCTGCCCATCAGCAGTAGCTGTGCTATTCTCACTGTTGGGGCCAGAGGAGGGTGAAAAGGAGGAGGCCCCAGTTTGGGTTAAACCTCTCATACTGAGTCAACAGAGGTTTTGTTGCTTCAAAGGGGACTCAACCTCTACCACTAAGCAAAGCTCTGTGGTCCCCATGAAACTGCCACACACACAGATGTGCAAACTGAACTCTGATAGGAATGGTCAGAGGCAGGGAGCAGGGAAAGGAAAGAAACCTTCACAAAAAATATACAACACTGCTGCCATACTTTAGATTTTGTTAGTCTAAGCATTAAGTAGCTACATGTTCCCAGAAGGGAGGGTGGCTGGCAGTCCCTAAAACCTCAAAACTCATCACTACTCCTAGGAAGAGACTCAAGGAATGGCTCTTCTCAGAAGGTCCCTGAGGATCCCTAGCAGGTATCTTGGCCTCTGCTGTACTCCAGTCCCTTTTCTTGGCATTCTTACATACCTCTATGATGGCATTTATCATATCTAATGTGTTTAAAACCAACAATCGAGACCTCACCATGAACACGGGCAAGAAAGAGGCTCCCTAGTTATGTGTCTGCACACGAGGTAGAAGCAGAATTGAGGCAGCAAATAGGGAAATGTGATCTTCATTTCATTTATCAAACACTACTATGAGCTCAGGTCAACTCCTGGATTCTATTGGGTAAGGACAGAGGATTACTTAGGTGGCCTGCTCAGAAGGGGCCTGGCCTTAGTAATGACCAAAGAAAGCACAGGAGGCCAGTCAAAACACCATCTGCAGAATCAGCTTTGGGACAGTCAGAAAGGCCTGCCTATTGAGAGCTGCACCAAAGCTGGCCAAAACCTGTGTATGTGTGAGTGTGTGTGTATGTTTGTTACTGGGGTTTGAACTTAGCCTCGAATTTAGTAGGCAGGCACTCTTACCACTTGAGCCACGTCCTCAGTCCTTTTACTTTAGTTATTTCCTGGAGCTGGCCTTGGACTGTGATCCTCCTACTATGCTTCCCACGTAGCTGGGATTACAGGTGTACACTGCTATGTCTGGCCTCTGGCCCCAGTCTTCTGAAGGACAAATAGCAAAGGGTCCAGACAGTTACCCAAAACTGTCCTGCTAAAAGGGCTACATGGAGAAATGGGCAATTCCAGGACTCAGGCAGGGGAAGACGAAGAGAGCCTAAACACTTCTTTGTATCAGAAAGCAAGGATATGATTGAAGAACCACGGGGAGGCATCAGAAGGAGCCAGGCTGAAACTCCCTACTGGGCAAACATGGCACAGTTTGAGTATCAAAGAGTGAGGCAAACCAGGTGCAGTGGTACATGCTTATAATCCTAGCACTCTGGAGGCTGAGGCAGGAGGACCATGAGTTTGAGGCCAGCCTGGGCTATATAACAAGATCCAGTCTCAAAAAAACAAAAAAAAGAACAAGCCATATATTGATTTGTAAACAATATACATCTTATACCTCAATCAAAATGTTTTATAAAACACAATGGCCCAAACATTTAGGGAAGAAGTAATATAAATTCTATGAACTTCCACAAAACTGGAGAGTGCTCCATGCATCCTGTGAGTCCAGCATTACCTTACACCCCATACTAGACAAAAACATTCCAGCTACTGACCAATGTCTATAATGAACAGAAGTAAAACTTCTGAAGATTTTTCATGAATCAAATACAACATATATAAAAAGGATAATACATTGTGACCAAGTAGGATTTATTTCCAGAATGCAGTTCTATTCCAGGAATTCAAGAAACCAATATAATTCACTTGTGACAGAAAAGCCATTTGATCATCTCCAAAGATACAGAAAAAGGATTTAACAAAAATCCAACATTAATCCAACACTAATCCTGAGGCACAGCAGACATCACTGGCCCTCATGAAGAAAAGGGCCTTGCATCCTTAGGAGGAATTTTTGCTACATTTACCCTGAATCTAATCAAGTCTCTACCTGCTGTCCAGTTTACAGGAGACAACAGTGTGGAAAAATAGGTTAAATGACAACATGAGGATGCAATCTGCCAGATCCACAGCAGGAACATTTCAAAAGCCAATGCCACCAGGCCTATAATCTCAGCTATTCAGAAGGCATATATAGGAGAATCAGAGTCTGTGGCCTGCCCAAGCAAAAGCAAGACACATCTAAAAATAAACCAAAGCAAAAAAGGCTGGGGGCTTGGCTCAAGGACTTGCCTAGCAAGTGCTAAGTTCAAGCCCCAGAAGCAGAGACCAAAGTAACTGATTGTAGTGCATGAACCTGGGCTGAATCCTTAATTATGAAGTGATGACTTGAAACACATTAGGTAATGTAACCATGAACTTGAAGTCAGGAGACACCCTGGAATGGTTCATTGTGGTTGTGTAGGAGAGAGTTTTTATTCTAGAGCACTGGTTCTCAATAATGCACAAAGGTGGCTCTCCCAAGCCCGAGGATTGTATGGAGATATATTTGGCTGTTGTGATTAGGGAAAGGTGCTATTGTCAACCTGTGATGCATAGGATAGTGTCTCACCATAAACACTTGTCCAACTGCAAATGTCAACATTGTTGGACTGAAAATCCTGGTCTTGAGGAATGCTGAAGACTCCTGGTTAAGTGCTATGGTGTCACACATATAAAGAACTATGGCAAAGTACTAATTATTCAATCTAGGTGGAGAGCCCAATGGTATTCATTATACTGTTTTTTCAACTTTTCTAAATGACTGAGTTTTTTTTTTCCGGTACTGGGATTTGAACTCAGGGCCTTCACCTTAAGGCACTCCACCAACCCTTTTTTGTGATGTGTTTTTCGAGACAGGGTCTCAGGAACTATTTGTACGAGCGGGCTTCGAACTGCGATCCTCCTGATCTCTGCCTCCTGAGTTTTTAGGATTACAGGCGTGAGCCACTGGCGCCGGGGTTGAGCTTTTTTTTTTAAACAATAAAAGGTTTGGGAGAAATAAAACAACAGAATGAGGAAATCTGATGGCGTAGAGGGAGTTGCCTAGTATAATTTGCAAGGGGCTCCCAAGCCTCAAGTGGGGACATATGAAGCCTGTGGTTCAAGTGGGAAGCTGAGGGACCAGTGCTCGGGACTTCATGCGCAGCTACTGTGGTGCCCTGCCACGGTGCGAGAGGAAATAGACGCTAAAGGGTGCTCCGATCATCTACCGAGTGACACCTGTGGTCAACGGCCGCCACGAAAGTCTATTTGTGGGCGAACCAAGCACAAAGCCCCTTAGGCCATATTGCCTAGCATAGTGTGGGGGCATGGGGAAAGTCCGAAAACAGTTTCTGGACGTCGTGCTAAAGGGGCGCGACTCACTGGTCACTTAAACCATCGAAGGCTCTGTACCCCTTGATCTGGCCCATCTGAGGCTCCTCTTGAGACGGACGCCCAGGGAAGGACCCCACCAGCACACAGACCGCGCGTTCTCCGGGCGGGCAGACCCCGAGGAGACGCGTGCGCCGTCCCGCCGCCCCCGCGCACCTCGGTGCTCGTTCTGCAGCCGCAGCCGCTGGTTGTACAGGCTTTTCTCGGTGAGATGCTGGATTTCCAGAAGTCCCTGCACGATCTCAAACACGGTGCCGTCGAGGAGCGCCAGGGCCAGGTCGCTGAGCGTGGTGTAGGACAGGCGCTGCTGAAAGGAGCTGCGGGCAGAGGGGCGCGGTGAGTGCGAGCAGGACCCGAGCAGCGAAGGCCGCCCGTCCCCCCCGCGGCCGCGCACCTGGGCAGCTCCTTGACCAGGCTTTGCAGCGCCGACAGCAGTTGGTAATGACGCTCCTGCTGCCGGGTCCCGTCCGCAGACTCCTCCAAGGCGCCAGCGTAGCGCTCCATGGCACCGGCGCCCACCGGCCTCTCGCCACAGCGACGCACGCCACGCCCCCTTACGTCAGTCTCGGGCGCGGCGTGGCGCAACGCATCTCGCCCCGCCCCTTTTACGTCAGTCCTGAGCGCGGCGCAGCAGGCTGTCGGCGCTTCCCGCCGCTCCACGGACTTCCCCGGAGAGTGCCACTCTCACGCCAGTGATTCTTCTGCTCAGTGCTCGTGACCTTAGAGGAGAGGACGCCCATCGCCTCCATATCGCGGTATTTCGAATAATCCTGTCCCACCTGCATAGAGTCTGCGCGAACAAAGGTCCCCGCCCCGAGTAATAGGAGGGCGTTCCTTTGCGAGCTCAGCTCTGCTGTCCACCGCCAGGGGTCCCAAGGAGAACGTCAGAAACCACTGCACCTGGGCCTAGTGCACCATGTAAGACCAAGAAGTGTGGTCACCTTGACACCTCCCTCATTCCTCTCCCATTGTGGTTCAGACTGTGAAAAAGGACCACACTGGAGCTGTCTGGCCAGTGTCAGAAGCAAAACACAGCTCTCGTTCCAAAGGAAATAAGAGAGTTTATTCTGAGCCAAATATGAATAACCATGGCCCTGGAACATTCAGGTTACCCTGAATGATGTGTTCCACCGTGAAAGAGGTTACAAGAACTTTTTTTAAATAGTCAGAACAAAAGAAAGTCAAATCAATGCGTTTACTAAATACATTGGTGAGGTCCTCAGGTAGGCTGGCTATGGCAGAGCAGAGGAAATCTTTCCTTATACGTTTAAGATGTTACAACATTCTTAGTTTTAGTGTTGGTGGAAATTAGTGGTCTGCTAAGTTTAATGATTAATTCCAAAAGATTTACCTAATAGTGTCAAAAAGATTTGACCACTAGGCAAAGCAAGGCAAAGCACCCCATGGGTTCTGGACATGGCACTGGCCTGACATCACCACAAGATCTCCTTCATCCAGGAGTTCATTACTGACTTGATAGTGGATGCAGGTGGACACAGTTTAAAAAAAAAAAAAGGACAAACCAGACTTTTCTCCCTAATGTCCCTAGATGAAAACACAAGGCGAGTGTGGCTCAGCACATACCACTATTAAGTGCTCATTGTACACCCAGGAGAAGTAAATTGGCAGTAACCAAACATCCGTTGACAAAAGTAGGGGACATTTCTAGAATGTTACCTCATGGATAGAGATGAGGCATGAGTAGGGAGGAGGGCCAGAGGTGTGAAAATACTAGATCCTCGGTCTGAGTGGTGTTCCTTCTGTCCCCCTTCCCTGTCAAGGAGATCTCAGTGGAGGTGCCTGAGGAAGGCCTTGGAGAGAGGTGCCTGGGCTGCAAGTGCAGATGTGAGTAGGAGCAATTCACCCCTCAACTGCAGCTCCCTTCTGAGTCCCCATGCACTGGCTATTCACCAGGGACGAGGATAGAGTCCTTCCATGAGTCATGCCAGGTAAAGCCTTTGTAATTGCCTATGGTCAGGACTGAAAACTCACATCCAGGGTCCAGACTACATTGTGACAATGTAATGTGATATGATAGGCAAGGAGAAACTTTCCAGAATGCTAGATGAGAAGTAGAAGAGTAGTGGCTGCCTGAGCTGTGCACAGCTGTGTACTCCTTCCTTCTCCCACACATCATCCCCAGCCTACTCACTGGCTGTACAAAATGGTGAAAGAAACAACTTACTACATCGTTTGGGGTGGGCAGGGGGAGGGTTTAAACCCAAGGCCATCTGAAAATATTTGAAAAAGGCTTATAGGGAATTATCCTTGCAGTGCCACCCTGATAAAATCCAAATAAAGATCTCTCAAGCTTACGAAGCTCTCTCTGATGCCTAGAAAAAGTCATGTATGGAATTTTCCTCTTGTGATGTCATGTTGCACTCAAAAGGTTTTGGAGAAGGAGGAAGGATGTAGCAAGAAATGAGAGGTAAAAATGTTATCTATCAGCTCTTGGTAACCCGAGAAGATTTGTATAATGGTGCAGCATGCAAACTGACTCTGCAAAAGAATGTGACTGCCAGGGTACTGGGATACAAATAACTTATCAGCTAGGACATGGAATAGTTCGACAAGTTTAGTTGTTTGGAATACCAGAGCTGTGGAGAATGGATCAGTCCTAAAGATAGATGTAAAGGTGCAATGGAAGGAATATAGTCTGAGGGAAGATTCTAGAAGTTCATACTAAAAAAGGCATGAAAGATGACCAGAAGGAAACATTCCACAGTGAAATGACCAAGAAGCAGGACTAAAGCTAGGAGATCTTTGTGCTGGATCAGAAGGACCATACTGCTTTCACTTAATGTGAAGACCTTTTCATGTGTATGGACATACAGCTGGTTGAAGCATTGTGTGGCTTCCAAAAGCCAATATCCACTCTTGACAAGAAAACCATAGTAATTATTTCTCATTCAGGTCAGATTGTCAAGCATGGAGATATTAAGTGTATGCCGAGTGAAGGCATATCTATGATAGACTGCATGAGAAGGGTTGCCTAATCATGGAGGTTAAGGTAAACTTTCCAGAAAATGGCTTTCTCTCTCCTGATAAACTCTTTACTGGAAAGAATTCTGTTTAAAAGAAATGAAGTAGAAGAGACTGATGAAACAGATCAGATAGAACTGGTGATCCAATCAGGAGAGACTGCAACATTATAATGGAGAGGTGTACGGGGTTGGTGAACATCATCCCAGAGGTAAAGCTTAGCATCAAACCTCTTCATGGGGCCAGTGAATAACACTCTGCTGGCATTTTATATTGGTAGTGAACGAGTAAAGGACTACAGTCATAATCTGCTCACTACTTGCTATTGTTTTTGTTTAAATATTGAATCGTAGTAATGTTTTAAAAGTTAAATTAAGAAAAAAAATAAATGTAAAAGCTCTGATTTTGCCCTGTGTGATGATGACTTCAGTGTGCAAGGTGAAGTTTAATACTTGTAAAAATTACTTTACAAAAAATTCTCTTTCCAAGCAGAGTGGCTCATGCTACGTGGGGGACTGAGACTGGGAGGAGCATGGTTTGAGGACAACCAGGGGAAATAGTTTATGAGAACCCCCTCTCTCCAAAATAAGCAGAACAAAATGGATTGGAGGTGTGGCTCAAGCAGTATTTTGCCTACTTTGCAACCACAAGGCCTTAGTTCGAACTCCAGTCCCACCAGAAAAGAAGGTGGTTCATGCCTGCAATCCCAGCACTCAGGTAGTGGAGGCAGGAGGATCTTGAGTTCAAGGTCAATCTGGTATACATAGTGATATCATCGTTTGGGCTACATAGCAATAGCTAGTCGCAACAAAACAAAACCAGTAAAAAAAAAAAAAAGTTCCACTAGTATCTGTTAGGCCATACCTTGTAATTAACTTCATCTGTATTCATGTAGAAGCTTAGGTCGAAATTCTAAGATATGCGTTAAAACTCTGTATTTAACTGTCAATCAGAAAAAGAAAACTCAATTTGTAGGGAAGTATTGGTCTGTCTAGTTACTTGTATTAAGTGGGCTCATTGTGATGCCTGTGCATTCTATTGCTTCAACTATTACTTGAAGGCAGCATAGTACGTATATATATGTGTGTGTGTATATAACTATGTTGACCAGTCCTGGTTATATTTTTTTCCCTTCTCTTTCGACCATGATAAGCTGTTGAGTACTGACTTCCAAAGCTGGGTGACTTAGAAATTGAAGTGAAGAGACCTGTATATGGAGGATGAATTTACATGTATAATTTAGGAAGATGTTCTTTAGGTATGTTATAAGCTTACTTTAAACCATTTGACTTATGCCCCCAAAGTAACTGTAATTTAGTGTTTGTAGTATAGCAAATTATGATGACTAGCTTTAAATATGAGTCTTCATATGTTCATATGCTTAAATCTAGATATGAGAGTCTAAGCAATTCTTGCATGTATGAATGTCTCCTTAACACTGATTAAAAGCAAAAAAAAAAAAAAAGATAGCCAAAGCAGGGACACAAAATTGAGTCACATGATACCAGTGTGTGACAGAATATCCTATGACAGCTGTGACCTGAATCACATTGTTTCACTATGTAACATATATCCTATGATGACTGAGAAACAGGGTGAAGACCTGAGTCCCATCATAGTATCATGTCAATATGACATCTGATGGGAAATGCAGACCTCTGGCATATTGTCTCACTGTCACGTAGGATATCATGTGACTGCCATGAGAAGGAATAGAGACTGATGTATACTGCACATGGCATGTTGTTCATTGATACATATTAATCTGTGTTTGAGAGGCAGAGCTTGAGTGAGAATAGTGCTACCCGTATAAAACCTTATGTTTAGGAATATGTTGTTTGTGTCTTACATTCTTCTGAGGTACATACTTAAATGCTAGTGAATGATCCTCATATTATCTCTGGAAATCAATATAGCTAATGTTTTTCATTTAATATAGTGCTCTCTAATAGGCGTTTAATCTCTGTGTTCATCAGGGATAGGTTTTTTCTCTATGAAACCCTGTTTCATACAGAGGGTGGTGCAGGTACTGCGTTCTTTGTTGTCTATGTTTAAACCCTGTGTTTAACAGAGCTAGGAACAAGATTGCCTGAGTGTAATGTTGACTTTGGCAAATAGTGTGTTTGGCATTGTGTGTTTCCCGAAAGTGTATATCTCAGTGATACCTGCTATACAGTTTATCACATCTAGTGTTCTCAGTGAAACACTGTATTTAGCTGTGTGTGGTGCATGTAATACATACTTTTGGGATATATTTTAAATCTGTGTTTAGCAGAGGTTGGTGTATGAGCAACTAAGTATATTATTATCCCTGATAAAGACTTTGTTGAACATCGTGTAGTGCATGTAGTATTTTGTATGGTGATATTTGTTTAAACTCTGTTTGCAAAAATTAGGTGTGTAAGTTATGGAAAACTTATAAGTAACTTATAACTTATAAATTACTGAAAATAGCATAATCCCTAAGAATGTTTTTTAGTGTATGGTGATGTCATATATTCTTACATGACAAAGTTTTTCAGGGTTTTTTTGTGGGTGGAGTTTGAACTCAGGGCTTCATGCTTGTTAGGCAGGCACTCTACCACTTGAGCCACATCACCAACCCTTTGTGTGTATGTGTTGGGTATTTTCAAGATAGGGTCTCGAGAACTCTTTGTCCAGGCTGGCTTTGAAATGCAATCCTCCTGATCTCTGTCTCCTGAGAAGCTAGGATTATAGACATAAGCCATGGATACCCATCTTTTTTTAAGTTTTTTGGTTGTGGT